AGTCCAGTCGCAAACGACTCTGGGGTTGCAGCTCTCATCTCGCTTTACAGTACTGGCCGAGGGAGCCAACGTTTGTCCGCAGACAGTTTTTCCAGGTCATGTGGCCAGCATGACTAAGCTGCTTCCGGCGAACCAGAGCAGCGCATGGAAATGCCGTTTACCTTCCCGTCGGAGCGGTACCTATTTATCTACTTGCACTTTGACGTGCTTTCGAACTGCTAGGTTGGCAGGAGCAGGGACCGAGCAACGGGAGCTCACCCCGTCGCGGGGATTCGAACCGCCCACCTTCCGATCGGCAAGCCCAAGGCTCAGTGGTTTAGACCACAGCGCCACCCACGTCACATACATTTACCATACATTTAAAGCACAGGCCTTTCCCCAGAGAATCCTGAGAACTGTATTTTAAGGGTGCTGGGAATTGTAGCCCTGTGAGGATTCTTAGATGGAAACCATGGCTTTTAAAGTGATATAAATATGCTTTAAATATATGGTGTGGATGTGGCTTAAGGCTGAGAGGGTTGCACAGGGATAGCCAAGGTGGTGCCCGCTTGATATTCTTGCACCACAACTTCTGTCTTCCCTGACCATAGGTCATACTGGCTATGAGTTGCCACATTGCTTACTCCTGGGCTAGCTTCTTGCCTAACCCTGTGGCTCACTGAATGAGTGGCAGGTGTGAGGTTTTTAAACGGGGGATCTTCCTGGTTCATATCTCACTTCTGTCACTTGCTGAGTGTCCTTAGGTTCAGTAACACCTTTTTAGTTGAATAATATGTTTCTAATCTGGGCAAGATGCCTACTCCCATATGAAGGGCAGTCAACACCCATATTCACTGGCCCATGTTTTAAAGTCAGCTTCAGAGATCTTACTTGTGTGACCATTTCTAAGATCAGTTTTGGCTGACAGGTGCTAGAGATAGGGCCTTCTCAGTGGTGGCTCCTATCTTATGGAATTTCCTTCAGAGAGAAAGATGCATCTGGTGCCATCAGGTCAGGATTTTAAGGATGTTTTGAAAACTTTCCCTGGTTTTTAATGAATAGTTTTGTTGTATATGCTGCTGCAGGTGTTTTTTTTTTTATTTTCAGTTTTTGTTGGTGACTATTGAATTTAGTTGTTGTGTTTTGACTTTTTTATTGAAAACTGTCTGAATTCCATAGGTAGAACTTATTATTATTATTAGTAGTAGTAGTAGTAGTAGTAGTATTTGGTGCAAGAAAAATGTAATCTTAAATACCCAAACTTCGTTTTTAATTCTGTTCTCTCTCACACACAAAATCAAGAGAGCTGATGTAATGCACATAAAACATCATTCAGTGTTAATACCTGAAGAGAGCTCTGAACTTGCCAAGAGACTGGTGTGTACCAGACACCAGTAGTAAAAGCTCCCAGGGGGAAAAATCCTGGCAATTTGTTTTTCATAAACTTGCATGCTACTAGCTGCCTTAAGGGTTTTATATACAGTGACTCTCTGTTCTCATGGAACAATCAAATGGATGAAACTTCACTGCTTTGTGTTCTGCCCCAGTAATGACTTGCATCAAAACTATGTTTTGTTTGCTCACAGATAGTGACTTTTGGAATGTGGAATCTTCCTCTGTTTTACAAGTGAACTGATTTTTAGGGGTAGGCAAGCTACTGGCCTGCTAGATCTCCTAATTTGTTTGTGTTTTACTGGGAACCTGAGGTTTGCTGGGTGCAAAATAATGCATTGGGGTGAGGGATGTACATGGATTGTTCACACATTACACTGGAAACAGTTACAGTTGCCCAAGCATTTGTGTGACTGTGGACTTTTTGATTTGTACAGCTCAGCTGTACAAATTGGGTACACAGACTGTGCACTCGCTGAACATTACTATTCCATAATTGCACAGTGCAACTGTTTGTGTGCTCTTGTTGAGTTCTCTTGTTGTAGAGAGAACATCTCTACAGTTAGAACGGGGGCGGGGGGGGCAACGACGACATGTGGCCCTCCAGATATTGCTGGAATGCATCTTCCAGCGTCCACGACCATTGACCCCCGATATCTGGCGTGTCAAAGGTTCCATATCCCAGAGTTGGAACACATGCTGAGCAAAAGAAGTTGCTGTAGTACCTGAGCCTTTCCCTTAAGCTTTCTCTCCTCTGAAATAGCCAATATCTTGGATCATATCTGATTCTCTGCAGAGGGTATCTCTTTTGAATCCCGTCTCAGGGGAGGCTCATCCATTAGGGCAAATGGGGCGGCAGTGCCCCACCAATTTCAGTCTGCCCTCATCCAGCCTCCACCTGCCTGGTTTCTTCCATACAGACAGTTCAGTGTTACAAAGCCACATCCACACCATACATTTAAAGCAGCATCGTGCCACTTTAAACAGCCATGGCTTCAGCCAAAGAATCCTGGGAATTGTAGTTTGCTAAGGATGCTGAGAGTTGTTGGGAGACCCCTTTGTCCCTTTCTCAGAACTACAGTTCCCAGAGTACTCTGGGATGAGGGATTGATTGTTAAATAGCTCTGGGAATTGTAGCTTTCTCGGGGGAATAGGGGTTTTCTAATGGTTCTCAGCACCTTTATCAAACTACACTTCCCGGGATTCTTTGTGGGAACCCATGGCTGTGTAAAATGGTATCATAGTGCTTTTAAATGGATCATACAGAAGGCGGGGGGGGGGGTCTGTTTTTTCAGTGGAGGCTGGTCTGTTAGGGCAAATGGGGCCCGACCATTTACAGATCTTTGGAGAGCAGGAAGACCAGCACCAGAAAGGTTATTGTTTTTTTAACTCCTGTTTTGCTTTAAGGCTAGATTGTTGATGTTGTGATCTTTTTGTCACTTTTCAATTTACTGACATGTTCTGTACTTTATATTTGAATCTCCAAAGCCCCGAATTTTGATCTTCTGAATGTTTTCTGAGAGCTACTTTGGGCACAGCTCATTGTGGAAAAGGGGCATTTAAGTAAACTCAATCAATCAATCTCAGTCTGCCCTGAGCCACTCCCCACCTGCCTGCCTTCTTAATTCCAACCAGCCCCATTTTACAAGCCTTTTCTTAACCCTTGCAGAACTTAGCAGGGAGGAGGATTGTGGCACAGCCAGAATTTGTTGACTCAGCCCATAATGGACTCTGGCTCTGCCTACTGTCACCCTCCCTACCTGCTGCCCAGCCCGTTCCAGGGAGCACCAGTCCCCACTAAGTCTCTTTTCAGGTTAACATCTTTTCCTTTCCTTTCCTTTCCTTTCCTTTCTGCTGGATTTGCAGAAACTCGGCCTTGATTAAAACCACATGTCTTCCTTGTCAGGGTTTCCTACTAGGAAATGCTACATTTGAAGGGATATCTAACTTCTTTTGTGTTTCAACATGTAGCTTTTGGGGGGCAATTCAAAGTGGATATGACAACCTCTGAGATTCACAGCTTTTCATTAACAAGAAAGGAGTTATGCATGCACTGCTGAAACGAGAGCAGGGTGGGCAATGAAATAATGAATGGTGTTATATGCAGATTAAAAAACCCAATAATTTTACTCTTGTAAAACTGGCTATTAGGACATTGTTCAGTTCAGGGGACTTTTTTATGAGCTGTTCCTGGTGCAGACGAGTACCCACTGCTTTTGGGCAGGCTTCACCAGCTGGTGCCCTCCAGAAGTTTTGAACTAGAACTCCCTTCAGCCCCAGCTAGTGTACTGATGGGGGCTTGGGGGGTGGGCATATGCCAGTGGAGAGGCATGGCATGGTTGTGGCCAGGGACAAAAATAGGCAGAGCAAAAAACAAGAGGTTCTCACACACACACACACTCCTCCATTCAGGTAAGCAAGAGGCCTTACCAGCCAGGCAACACCATTCAAGGAGGGTTTGAGGCACACCCAGGGCAGGATTTGGCCTGGGGTGGGGCCAAAACCTGCGCAAAGTCCCATGGGTCAAGTGGAGAGGGCTGGAGTCAGCCCTTGAACTGAGCTTCCCCACCTCTGCAGCCAGCTGTAGTTTGGCTTCTTACCATGTGACATGTGAACCAGGCCAGTATCTGTTTAGACTGCAATTCTCTATTGTTTTTACAGACATTTTTCTTGATAAAAGGGTCTCCTTGAAATGTGTTGGGAACCATCTGTACTTGTGCAGCTATCTTTTAATATATATTTTTGGATTTTTTAAAATGACTCTTATCGATCCCCACTGTTTGTGTTCCCGTGTGAATCTGCCCTGAGCATATCCAGAACCAAGGAAGGGAAAATAATAAATGATAGCAATTATGCACAATTCTGTTAACACTGGAGTTATTTTAGACACATGCGTGACTCTATTATTCTATGAGGCATACAAATGATTGGAAGGAAACAGGGTGTGTATTACTAGCTAAAAACACAGCTAGGCCATCATTTTTCTTAATTTGGATTGAAGCTGGTTTCGGGAAAGTGCATAAAATGCAAAATGCAGTATTTAATAAAAAACAACAAGATAGATACAGGTTGTGGCTAACGCTCTGTATAAACCGCTTCTAAGACCAATATTGGGTCATAGAGTAAATGGGAGTGTGTTTAAAGGCTAGCATATGTAGAAACTTAAAATAACTGCATTTTGACCCAGGCCCCGTCCACTGGGAAGAATCCAAGCAGCTTGTTTGTTGCCATATTTGAAAGGAAACTTGAGTGTATTGTTTCCTGTGTGGTAAACCACAGTCCATTTGTTTATATTGGCTCAACACCAGGAAGTAATATACCTCAATGTAAATGCACCTGGTTCTTGTAGATTGGTGCATAAATGTCCTCAGAAGCATGTGTTTTTATTCTTCTCCCATGGGGATATATCATTGTCAAAGCCTGTCTGATGAGGAGAGGCCAGTCAGAGTTATTTCTGTACAATCTGATTCCTGCTTTATGCAGGCGGAGTGGAGGTGACACCCACACCAGGCGTGCAAAGCGCTTGGCTTCCCCCAAGAATGCTGGGAAAAACTGGCCTGACCGAGTTTGCTCACCGAGTTGGTGCCCAAGGAGGGCCTTGAACTTGGCGAGTGTTGCCTTGTCTCCAAGAGGCTCAGTGGGAGAGCATCTCCTTTGCATGCAGAAGGTCCCAGGTTCAGTCTCTGGCATCTCCTTGTAGTGCTGGGACTGTTCCTTGGAGAGCGACTGCCAGTCAGTGTGCAGACAACACGGAACTAGATAGGAAGCTGCCTCTTGTAGAGTCAGAGCGTTGGCCTGTCTTCTCCAAGGACCTCACACGCATTGCTCACTCATAACTTTGATCCTGTCAACAAGCCTGTGAGACTAAGAGAGAGAGAGAATGTGTAACTGGCCTTATGATTTTCATGGCTGGCTGAGGGAGTGTGTGTGTGTGCGCGTGTGTGTACACACCCCAACAACATTTCTAGGCTGGCTAGATTGAGAGATGGCTCTAGCCCAAAGTCTGGCGCCTGGTCTTTCAAGGCTTTAAAAATTACTCTTTGTTACCTCTTTAGGCTGATTTTTCTTTTTTCTTTTAAATCCCTCCTACAATAACAACTCTAAGAGCAAAAATGCTCACTTGAGCCTTTTTTTTAAAGAGGCCAGTTTTATTTCACAGCAGAGCGTTTTCCTTTTTCTTTCGGTAGCAGGTCTTGGAAACATCTGGGGAGTTCATTAGACTCCTGATGGATTACAAACAGCTGTGTGCCCTGGATTAAATGCTCTGGGTGGTGTTCAACTAAGTTTCTCTCAGAGTTAGACCTACTGAAATGAATGAGCCTAGCTTAGTCATGTCCATTAATTTCAAAGAGCCTACTCTTGAGTAAAACTTGGTTGACTGCAACCCTCTGTCTCCTTGCTTTGTTCTTAGCTCAAATCAGGGCTGGCACCAGACTTCAGGGGGCTTTCTCCCTAGTATCCACCAGGTGGGATTATTCTTTATTTCTTATTTCTTTCTCTCCCTTGAGATGAGTCCAGGGCAATGTACCAACAAGTATGTGAAGAAAATACAATAAAACACTGCTCAAACATATACAGTGGAACCTCGGATTATGTACCGTCTGCCTTATGAATGCTTTGGGTAACGAGCTCTGCTAACCCAGAAGTAGATGCTCCTTTGGCCCAGGATGCAAGCGGAAGTCGCGCGCCAGCGGCGTGGCGGCAGCAGGAGGCCCCATTAGCGAAAGCGCGCCTCAGGTTAAGAATGGTTTTGGGTTAAGAACGGACCTCTGGAATGAATTAAGTTCATAACCGGAGGTATCACTGTATACACTTACAAGCTTCTAGCATATCAGAACAAACAAAAATACCTACATTATATGAAGCATCGTCTATTAGTTGCTTCCAGTGCCTTGTGAATTCATCTCTCTGTTTGTTTATGCCTTCCCTGACCCACAAGACTGAATCCTGATATTTCTGAATTCCTGTTTCTCCCTGTCCCTGGTTTTATAATGCTGCTTTTCAGTTTTCAGAAGATTGTATCAAACTAAGTGTTACTCAGAATAAACCCATAAAGTTAATGGACGTAACTTAGCCACATCTGAGTAGAACTAACTTTGGAGACAACCCATTATGCTTCTTATTGCACATTCATGATGATTTGTGCTCATGATGGCTATCAGGATAGTCATATGCAATCCCTCTTCCAATAAAAGTTTTTGGGAGTTGTGCCACTGCTTCATTCCCAGTCAGTGAATATCCTTCCAAAGTCCTGTATTTATTTAATACCACAAATATTCTGGTTTATGTTTATTTCACTCTTGTTGTGCTGTCGTTTCTCTGGACAGCAATCATGTGGTAGCATTGAGAGAAAAATCACAGGACAGACTAAATCAGAATAACTGCACTATTATTGTTGCATAAGAAAGACCCCTGCAATAAGACACAAATCTGAAGGGACCCATTTGTTTTTATATCATTTTTCTATATTGCATAGGTTGTGTGTTGTTGTTGTTTTTACAGTAAGCAGTTAAGAAATCCTTTTAAATAAATATGGTCCAGGAACAGCCATAGCTAACTTTCAGTGTACGTTGAGGGGTGGCCCTCTAAAAATTTCCACAATACCCTGAAGAGCCACAGGGTGAGAATTTTTTAAATAGTGGCTTGTAGCACTTCCCCTGGCCTTAGGATGTTGGATACAGACGCCAGCCCTGATCTCAATTATTTACTGTTTGGTTCTGTCCCCCCCCCCTTTTCTCAGCCATCTACAATTATGATGCCGTCCAAGATGTCGAGCTGTCCTTGCAGGTTGGTGATACAGTTCACATCCTGGAGATGTATGAAGGTAAGCAGGCGCTGGATTGCTGGGATAGGTTGGGAGGGTTCTCGATTATATTCCTTCTCTGTTTACTCCAGATTTAAGAGTTAAATCTTTGGGGAAATGCCCTAAAAACTAGCAAAAAAGAAGCCCAAAGGCTGATGCATATACAAATGATTTGCTATGTTAGTTCCAAAAAATGTGTTTGGTAAGCTCCAAAGTAGATTGAAAAATATTGGATCAGCCATGTTTGTTCAGATATGGGAACATAGGAAACGGCCTTATACAGAGTCTGTTGGTGCCTCAGTTCAGTGTTGTCTAGAATAACTGGTAGTGGTCCTGTAGGATTTCAGAAAACGGTCTTTTGCAGCCCTAGTTGAGATGTCAGGGATGGAATTTAGGAAGCTGGCTTATGCTGAGACAGGCCATTGATCCATCATAAGAAGATAAGAAGAGCCTGCTGATCAGGCCAATGGCCCATTTAGTCTGAGATCATGTTCTCACAGTGGTCAGTCAGATGCCCACTGGACATCTGAAAGCAGGACCTGATTGCAACAGTACTCTCTCCACATGCAGTTTCCAGCAGCTGATATTCAGAAACTGATACTGCCTCCAGCAGTGGAGTTGGAGCATGGCCACCATGGCTCGTGTGGTCAACATTGTATTGTATTGCCTGCATCAGTATTGTCTACAAACTGATTGGCAGCCGCTCTCCAGGGTTTCAGACCAAGGTCTCTCCAAAGCCTGCTGGGGATTGTACCTGTGACGCCTTGCTCAGTGGAAAGGGTTTAGTTCTACATCCGTCATCACCATTAGCAGCAGTAAACTGAAACATCCTGACACAAAGCTCCTTTGGTAATGCTAGCAAGGAAAACCAGCTGCTTGCTTAGCACTTCAGCAAGACAATTGGTTTCTTTTCACTTTGCGTTGACCTTGACACTGGAGATAGGGAGGCAGAGCCTTTGTGTCAAAAGAGATTATGTTGCTGATGGGTGTATTTAAGAGGAGTGTTTTTGTAGATTTGAAATGCAGAAGGGCCCAAAGCATTAGATGACCTTGCAAGTGGGGAAGAGAGAGGGAGAGAACATAAATCGCTGTTTTTCTGGGAAATTGAATGTGTCTTTTCTTTTCCCTCCAAAAAAGATTTAACAAATTATTCTTAAGAAGATTTATTTTTCCTTTCTATTCTAGGCTACAGATACGGTTTGACATTTGGTTATGGGTCACCACATGTAATGCCATATTAGCTATGTGGATATTATTTTAGTTCAATTTATGCACATCACACATGTACCCCAGAGACTTCGTCATTGAATTTTATTTCCATTAATTTCTAACTTCGCCTGACCCTATTGATGTGCAGTATTGATTGTACCCCTTATTAGGTTTTCTGTAGCAAAAGAGTTTTCCACAAATGCTTAAAAACTATTATTTAAAATAATAGCAACCACAAAAATAATTAGAAATAACAGCAGCAACAAAATAATTTATGTGAGCTGGTTCTGGTTTGGACAAGCTAGTGATCCTATGACATTGTTCAATTCAGTGAGGATTTCATTTATTTCAAGAGGCCCTGACTAATCTATTCGAGTTTCAATAATGTCTTAATAAATCCACGCTGATAGCTTCTGATGATTCAGGTGAATTGAACCCTTAGCCTGTAATCTTGTGAACATCCTTCCCTGCGAGTAGGTCTCACTGAACTCAGCTGGGCCTGCTTCTGAGGCAGATATGTCTAGCATTGCAGCTGTCTTGTGCCATTTAGGGTTTCAGTCCTGTACACCAGCTTTTCCCATCTTGGAGCCCAGGTTGTTAGACTACAACTCCCATCATCCCTGGTTGTTTGCAGTCCAGCATCAGTGGGAGGGCACCAGGTTGGAGAAGTCCACTGTATACAACTACTTGGAAGTAAGCCCTATTGACCCCAGTGATGCTTACTTTTGAGTAGGCAGGATTGCAACCTATTTTGTGTTGCTTAAGGCTGTAGCCCTGCACATGCTTCCCTGGGATGAGCTCCACTGAACATGGCAGGGCTTACTTGCAAGTAACAATACATTGAATTGTACCATTAGAGGATCCCAAAGAGTGGTCTGCAGACCACCAGTAGTCCATGAGCTTTATTCGTCTGGTCCCTGGAAGTGACAGTGGTGGTGGAGGAGAAGGCTGGGCCTTCCTCAGAGGAAGGCATGGCAAGAGATGGTCACAAGTGGGGAAGAGAGCTAGTCAAGGCATTTGAAAGGAACTGAGAGTCAATACATGGGAATGAAGGAAGCATCAAGAAAGAGTAAAGGAAGCTAACGAGAGCCCATGCACAGCACATTACAATTCCTAAACAGGCAGAAAAATCATGACGTAGTCTGCCAAGACCCTCAGCCATTTTCAAGTGGTCTGGTGGGAGGGGAGTTTGACGACCACTATATATAAGGATCATTTATATTTGAACATTTGATTTCTGTTGATAAAAGCACATTTTCTATCTTTCTTCTTCTTTGTCTCCTTATTCTTGGCAGATTGGTACAGAGGATACACTCTTCGGAATAAATCCAAAAAGGTACTTCATCTTTCCCCATTCAGTTATGTGTTTATATTAAAATGCATCAGATCTGTTGTGAAAATGCTCTTAGTAAAAGTTTTGTCACCTTTCTCTCTAATATCTTCCAAACTTTGATGACAATGGTCAATAAATATTTCCTGAGTGGTGGGGGCTCTTCTGTTTTGTAGCCGTATAGCAAAAACATGAATATTTGATACTGGGTGATGAAATGAGCATTGTGAGAATTAGGGTGCCCAATTTCAGTGTTAATTTAAAAGCCCCCACTTGTTTCAAAAGTAGTCTTCAGATTCTGTGGGAGGCACTGGGTGGAATCTGGAAGGAGGCAGGACGCAGCGAAGCACAAT